CTTTTTTTTTTTCTCTTTGCTCACTCAAACGGCAGTACCGGTCTGAAGGATGGTGCAATTGGATGTAATTTAGCTAATGTTATTATAGGAAAGAGAGAAAAAATTTTTTCTGTAACAAAAGCACTGCTGGATTGAATCACATTTTTTTGAGGCTCACACCTGTTCTGAGTTTTGTGCCTATATTCTGGCGTAGATTTCACTGTTCTTCATAATTTGATCATTTTTCGGGTTTTTTTTTTCTCGCTTTTTATCTTAGTTGTTTGAAATGGAATGGAAGAAAAAGAAAGTGAAAACTGAAGAATTTAATTTTGCCTTTAAATAGCTTTTTTGAATTTGAAAGAGAGAGGGATTTTTGTAAAGACAATTTCAAAAAAAAAAAAAAAAACGATGTTTTTTCCCGTAGTTTGTAATGAGTTTGAAGATAGAAATACAGAAGGATACGGTTCTTAAATGACAGTAACTGTCCACTGATACTAATGCTGAAAAGGTGCAGCGTTCAAATAGTTAAGAACAGTGTAATTTGGATTCTTAAATCTTTTTTTTTTTTATTTTTGTCAATTGTTTTTTACAGTTCATTTGTGTATTTTGCTTTAAACTGTTGATTTTCAAAAAAAATTATAGGGAATAAAGGTTGAGAATTATACATTTTAATAGAGTTTTATTTAGTTTTTTACTAAAATTTGCAATTAGGAATTGTTGGTGGGAAGAAAAATGTGAACATAAGCGAGAACAAGGCTTAGAATTTGGTTTTTTTGTTTTTTGTCTTTTACTTTTTCATTTCATATTTTACGTTTAATAATTTATTTTGTATTTGATAAGCTGAGTTAGCATTGTGTGTTTATATTGCATGCTTTATTTCTTCCTACTTATACATTGGCATCTGAAAATGTCAAGTTTTATTACTGCTTTATCAGTGTTCTCATCACCGCTATTATTTTTTTTTGTTCCCATCTTCGTTTTCTTGGTGTTATTATTATTATTGTTATTATTATTATTATTATTATTGTTATTATTTTTATCATGATTATTTTTATTATCATTATTATTGCTGATGCTGCTGTAGTTATCATTATTTTTTATTATTCACTTCTATTTTGGTTTTTTGAGTTGGTCATCATAATGGATAAGAAAATTGTGGTAAAAGGTAATATTAAATAAAGAAAGAACTAATTTTGGCTTTATGGGAAACACGATTTATCAGTTTTTTTTTTTTTTTTTTT